CCATGTTTCAATAGAAGCAAACATGATTTGAACGCAGAAGATCCCAGGTACGATACCTGCCATCTCCAGGTCAAGGATCACAGGTACTTGGCACTGGAAAAGATCCTTCTTGTGTTAAAAGCTCTTTGTAATCATGGTAGATAATTTGAACTAGGTCAGGGGTGTCAAACATGCAGCCCGGGAGCCGGATCAGGCCTCTGGAGGGCTTCCATCAGGCCTGCAGTGGAACTGGCCAGCTCCTGCTTCTAGTTCTGCTGCTGCTGCTGCATCATAGCTTGCCTCGCCAGAATCTCTTAGTCACTCAGCCATTTCATGTTTTAAACTAGGTCCTAGACTCAGAACTCTGAGCATGAGATTTGTGTGGTGAATGTCAATAAATCAAAAGTAGGTTTGCAGCTTACAGAGCTTATGTTTTAAGCATGCTTTTATTTTAACTAAAAAAAATCTTTGTGTCTGTGTCCTTTATAAAGTTTACTAGCAGTAAAGCACGTTGTGAAAGCAATACAACGAGATCTAGAAAGAGGCTCTGGGGCAGTGCTCTGGCTTTGGGCAAACAGTGTCAATTTGCTGTGGTGACCTCAGCAGGGTATAATGACAGAGTCCACTGTTTTCTCCAGAGGAACTGATCTCTGCTACCTGAAGAGCAGTTGTAATTGTGAGTGATCTGTAGCCCTCACCTGGAGATTGGCAGCAATTGTTACCCAGGACAAAATGACTGGTTTGGAGGGTGTAGTCTACGGCATTCTACCTGTCTGAGGTCCCACCCCTCTGCAAACCCCACCCTCTCCAGGCTCCAGGAGGCAAAAGCCTCCGGTCGCCCACTCCCTTCCCCTCCCTCCCCACCGACTCCTGGGCCGGCAACTGGAGGCCGGGTCCCTTCCCCCCCACTCACTCCAGGGCCGGCAACGGGATGCAGAGGCCTCCGGCTGCTGCTGCCGTTCCCCCACCCCCCTCTCACCCTCACCCACTACTGTTTACCTTACCACCATCCAGCCTATGCGTTACAGACCACATCTTTCTAGATCCCGTTGTATCGGTTTCACAACGGGCTTT